GTTTTTGCTAGATAACGTTAACGTTAAAGGTACTTTATCGAATTTCAGTGTATTAAAATTAATAAAATTTTTTCCTTCTTCACATTTAATAATGGTCAATGTAGTGTCAGTGCACTGGAAATCAATTTTTGTAACATTAACTAAATTTTGTTAATGCCTTGATTCAAAAATATTAAAATTTCATAAAATAAGAGTTATTAAAGACTATTTAAAATAAAAATTAAGAAAATGATTCATTAATTAAATTTTGTAAATGCCTTGATTAAAGAAATATTAAAATTTTATAAAATAAGAGTTAATAAAGAATATTTAAAATAAAAATTAAGAAAATGATTCGTTTTTATTAATAATTTGTGTATTTTACAGCCTTATTTCAAAAAAATATACAATCATTTTAAACATTTTCCAAAAGCTACCAGAACTTTAACACATAAGACATTATAGATAATACATAATACTTTAATACAGGGCTGTCCAATTTGAGCTCCAGAGCCAAAACGCAAAGCCATCGATGCAAAAAAAATTCAATATCAGTAATACTTTAGAAATTGTAAACTGTTTATAAGCATCGCTTAAATGCATATCAACACTTTATAGTTCCCGAAATCTTACCCACATTGAATTTTTTTGCATCGATGGCTTTGCGTTTTGGCTTCGGAGCTCAAATTGGACAGGCCTATTTTAAATACTTAAACGAAGACTATTTCATTGTAAATACACAAAAAAAGATATAAATAAAAATTTACATACTTAATAATAGTGTTTAGAATATGAATAAAAAATTTTAACTCTTTACATGAATACAAAATTTACACTTTTTTATTAATTTCTAGATGACGTATTAACAATACAAGACATACTACAGGACAAATACAAATCCGAAAATCAAGAAAAACTCAATAAAAATGGTTGTCTTATGCAATGTATGTTTCAAAAGGATGGAATGGTAAATAGTTTTTTATTTTTGTCTTAAAAAACATCTAAGCGTGGAACCATTAAAATAACGCAATATTATCAATGTTAAAATGTAATTTTTTGTTATAATATAATAACGCCTTTTATTTAAAGCTTTTTATTTAAAAATTTAAAAATTTATTTTTAAATTAATTTCCCAATTATGAACTTTATTGTCGATTTAATGATTTTATATATTGTCACGTTATCCACAATTTAAAAAATAATATTAAACGTAATATACGCGATTTAAAAACAACTTAATGTAATGAAATTATTAATATTTTATAAACTTTTCTTGTAAACTTAGATGGAAGATGCAGAATATAAGGTAGAAAAGATGCATAGTGAATTCATCAAGAAAACAAATGTTCAACCAGGAGATAAAAGGTTCGAAGGTCTGGATACTTGCATAAACGAATGTAAGTTATACATATCATAACCATTTTATGTAAGGTAATCCATGTCTTGATAAATATATAATCATGTTTAATGAAACTGTTTACAATATTAATTATTAATAAGTCTTGATGCATTCAACTAATCTAGCTATTATAACATTACAATATGTGACGAAAGTATATAACATATCTATTTTACTCTTTTTCTTACTTACACTAATTTTATTTTTCTTTTATTCTAGCAAAAGACGTTACAGAAAAATGCGAAAAAGCATTTCTTTTAACTACATGTTATTTCAAATCTGAACGTGAGCACTTGCATGACTATGGGTATGATGAATCCACAGAATAGTGAATAGAAAAATAACCGAAATATAATTAATATGATAAAATTTACATTGAACAGCATTTTCAATAAAGAGTATATGTATGTGTATCCGGCTTTCTTTCATTTTGTACATTAATACAAAAAATAAATTTTAATTTTAGCCGTTCGTATGCGTATGTACTTCCATAACTACATATAATAATTATATATTCATATCAATGTACTATGCGTGATTTACATTTTATGCATCAAATTATATAAAAATTAACTGATTAATTTTCGTAAATGTTGTTCTTCATAATAAAAATATATTGATAATTATAAGTTCACGTTGGTTTTGTACAAACGTATAAATTCATGCACCTCATTGTCCTTTAATAATATATTAATTGCAATGTCGGGAGAATCCGGTTTGCCTACAAAACAATTACCTACACAGCTTCGTTTGCACACAGCAATATTGCACACACGACAATATGGCACATATGAATACAATAAGGCCTAAATGAGAAGTAAATTAAAAATAACAAAGAAAATAAATATTATCTTTCTAAATCAATTTTAAAATGATTATTAATAGAAAGGAACTTCCTTAGGACTTACTCTACTCTTAAACGTTGCAATTATCTTTAATTTTGTTTGTAGTTAACTCTTTAATCTTGAAAAATTTCTAGTAATTTGAATGCAATTTTGGCTTCTTAAAAGGTAGCAACATTGAAAATCATTATTCTCTGACATAAACTCCACAACTCCACATATAACAAACAAATAATAACAGCTATAATAACAATCACATAAGTGAGCCTCATTTAATAAGTATATTGTTTAAAAAAAGTACTTAAATCCATTTCAAAAAATTGATTTATTTGTTATATTCCATAGTTAGGAAGTTAAATAATATTATAATGAATTATAATAAATTATGAAACATTGTCTACTGGTAAAATTTGCAACGGATTGTTATAAAAATGGCATACACATAAATTTTTGTTGTGTTAAACGAACGTATTGCTACCGATTCCAATTATCTAATCCCTTTTTATCTTCCTATGACATATCTTTTAAGCATATACTGCAGGCGTAAAGCGAGTTTTGAAATAATAAGTTTTAAAGTGGGCCTTATTTAGTGCTGGGCCTTATTCGACTCAGGTACCTTATAGGCATACATATATTAGTACATGTGTGTATAATATGTGATATAAAGAACAAATGAATGCATGTCAAAAATACTGCTGAAGTCAAATAATTTTTCTAATTTATGAAATTCAAAAATTCCAACCAAAAATATATAATGCTTCCTTATACTCGTACATGGCGATTGATCTATTTAAGAATTTTTGTTTTATGTAAATTTATACCAAGGTTATTCTTCATTTGCAACTAATCAGCAGAAAACTGGAGATATTCTAGAATATACAGTAGAGATAAACACAAATGACTGATTTTGTTGACATTGACGTAACATATACACTAAAAAAATATTTATAAAGCTATAAGAATATAAACATTTAAATGAGGTAGTTGCACATATATGAAACAACTGCACGTGTAAGCAACATCTTAGCAATTTATTTGTAATAATGATAGTTTGTGTTAGTTATAATAGGGTTCGGCACGATTTGCACTTCTCAGTCGATTTTCGATTCGGCTCCGCCCTCCGCTACTGTTCTCACCTCATCACCTCGCGCGCAGTCCAAATGCCACTCGACGTTTAGGAGCGTATGATCCCGGTAGACATGAGGTCCACCCGCTTTGGGCGCTTACACTTTAAACTTCATTCTATTTTTTGGTTTATTACATAATTAAGAATGAAGCAGTTCGTAAGATTGAGCGTTTACGCGTTGATTCATTCTGTCTTAGTTACGTAATGAACCAAAAAAAGATATAGAATGAAATTTACAGCGTGAGCGCTCAAAGCGGGTGGACTCTACGAGCGTCATACGCTCTTAAACGTCGAGCGTCATTTGGTCAGCGCGCGGGATGATGAGATGAGGAAAGTAGCGGAAGGCGGAGCCGAGTCAAAAATCAGCCGAGAAGTGCAAATCGTGCCGAGCCTTGAGTTATAAATATCATTATATTTTTCTTTGCGTTTACTTCATGTTTGTATGACCTGTGGTTTTGCAACTCTAATCAATGCATTTTTTTTATTATATTACATTTTTTTATTGTATTAAAGATGATATAAATACGATTATATTATCTATATAAATGCTAGTAGGTATCAGAATATTATAGTACCGACGCTTAGAAATAATATAGAGAAATAAATAAAATGAAGAAAATACTACTTTACATTTGCACTTTTGTGTTCATTGTAAGTATTTTTTTGTCATAAGAATTAAATATAAATAGAGAGTTAAAAATTTTTGTACAGACATAAAAAGAGTTCTCTTACAACTTAATTATAAATAAATTGTAATTCTTATATTAATCACATATATGTATATAATTAGTACCTCGCAGCAAACCAAAACGTAACTGTAATATAACGTAGAGAGCACAAAGAAAAAATAATTATATATTTCATTTGGTTATAAATATATTAGTTATAAATACGATATGTGTCACTTAATTTTGAGGATTCTTTAGAAGAACAAAGATATATTTCTTTCTTACGTTATATAATCATAACACTTAAAAATGTAATCTAACACACACGTAACTCAAAATACATAACATAAATACAACAACTGTAATCTTTCACCAATTTAACGAACATTATACGACTGATACATATAAAATGTATAGATACATTGAACTTATCCAGCTGTCAGAGAAACATTCGAGGAGATGCTATAAGCGTTTTTTGTATTACGTTGTCCTTGTTTCACATCTAATAAATAATGTAAATCGAATGATACATATAGCTCTAATAATGTTTCCTCGAACACAGCTCCGTAGATTACGCAACTTCGGTTCAAAATTAAATGTTACATATATTACGCTACATCCTTCTCATCCACCTTTTACTATCTGTAGCGTAAATTTTTATCATTATAGTACCTATTTTGTATACATTTTGTATATACATATAGAAATATGTAAAAAAGACGTTTATATTATATTGCAGTAATACATTATTGATATGTTTCTGATATAAAATTAATATGTTTAAAGTTGCTGATATAAAGCCGTATCTGATATTTACCGTTACAAATAATATTACATGTAAGATTCCTGACACTCGTGTAATATTTTATCTACATTTAAGTTACATACTGTGGTTTGCTGGGATAATCACATATATAGATACGTGTGTGTACCGAATATAAAAACAGCTTGGTCAAAGTAATAAGAAAAAATTAATTAAAAACAAAATTTCGTATAATTTAGTCTTTCACCGCTGACTCGAAGAAAATAGGATCCGTCGAGGTGAATTACAATACCTGCCTAACTGAAACTAATGTATCTGAAGGTAAGTCTGAGCGCATTCACACACACACACACACACACACACACACACACACACACACACACACACACACAAAACGCAACTTAAATCGTACCGTGCAATCCTTTTGTTTTTGCTAGATAACGTTAACGTTAAAGGTACTTTATCGAATTTCAGTGTATTAAAATTAATAAAATTTTTTCCTTCTTCACATTTAATAATGGTCAATGTAGTGTCAGTGCACTGGAAATTAATTTTTGTAACATTAATTAAATTTTGTAAATGCCTTGATTAAAGAAATATTAAAATTTTATAAAATAAGAGTTAATAAAGAATATTTAAAATAAAAATTAAGAAAATGATTCGTTTTTATTAATAATTTGTGTATTTTACAGCCTTATTTCAAAAAAATATACAATCATTTTAAACATTTTCCAAAAGCTACCAGAACTTTAACACATAAGACATTATAGATAATACATAATACTTTAATACAGGGCTGTCCAATTTGAGCTCCAGAGCCAAAACGCAAAGCCATCGATGCAAAAAAAATTCAATATCAGTAATACTTTAGAAATTGTAAACTGTTTATAAGCATCGCTTAAATGCATATCAACACTTTATAGTTCCCGAAATCTTACCCACATTGAATTTTTTTGCATCGATGGCTTTGCGTTTTGGCTTCGGAGCTCAAATTGGACAGGCCTATTTTAAATACTTAAACGAAGACTATTTCATTGTAAATACACAAAAAAAGATATAAATAAAAATTTACATACTTAATAATAGTGTTTAGAATATGAATAAAAAATTTTAACTCTTTACATGAATACAAAATTTACACTTTTTTATTAATTTCTAGATGACGTATTAACAATACAAGACATACTACAGGACAAATACAAATCCGAAAATCAAGAAAAACTCAATAAAAATGGTTGTCTTATGCAATGTATGTTTCAAAAGGATGGAATGGTAAATAGTTTTTTATTTTTGTCTTAAAAAACATCTAAGCGTGGAACCATTAAAATAACGCAATATTATCAATGTTAAAATGTAATTTTTTGTTATAATATAATAACGCCTTTTATTTAAAGCTTTTTATTTAAAAATTTAAAAATTTATTTTTAAATTAATTTCCCAATTATGAACTTTATTGTCGATTTAATGATTTTATATATTGTCACGTTATCCACAATTTAAAAAATAATATTAAACGTAATATACGCGATTTAAAAACAACTTAATGTAATGAAATTATTAATATTTTATAAACTTTTCTTGTAAACTTAGATGGAAGATGCAGAATATAAGGTAGAAAAGATGCATAGTGAATTCATCAAGAAAACAAATGTTCAACCAGGAGATAAAAGGTTCGAAGGTCTGGATACTTGCATAAACGAATGTAAGTTATACATATCATAACCATTTTATGTAAGGTAATCCATGTCTTGATAAATATATAATCATGTTTAATGAAACTGTTTACAATATTAATTATTAATAAGTCTTGATGCATTCAACTAATCTAGCTATTATAACATTACAATATGTGACGAAAGTATATAACATATCTATTTTACTCTTTTTCTTACTTACACTAATTTTATTTTTCTTTTATTCTAGCAAAAGACGTTACAGAAAAATGCGAAAAAGCATTTCTTTTAACTACATGTTATTTCAAATCTGAACGTGAGCACTTGCATGACTATGGGTATGATGAATCCACAGAATAGTGAATAGAAAAATAACCGAAATATAATTAATATGATAAAATTTACATTGAACAGCATTTTCAATAAAGAGTATATGTATGTGTATCCGGCTTTCTTTCATTTTGTACATTAATACAAAAAATAAATTTTAATTTTAGCCGTTCGTATGCGTATGTACTTCCATAACTACATATAATAATTATATATTCATATCAATGTACTATGCGTGATTTACATTTTATGCATCAAATTATATAAAAATTAACTGATTAATTTTCGTAAATGTTGTTCTTCATAATAAAAATATATTGATAATTATAAGTTCACGTTGGTTTTGTACAAACGTATAAATTCATGCACCTCATTGTCCTTTAATAATATATTAATTGCAATGTCGGGAGAATCCGGTTTGCCTACAAAACAATTACCTACACAGCTTCGTTTGCACACAGCAATATTGCACACACGACAATATGGCACATATGAATACAATAAGGCCTAAATGAGAAGTAAATTAAAAATAACAAAGAAAATAAATATTATCTTTCTAAATCAATTTTAAAATGATTATTAATAGAAAGGAACTTCCTTAGGACTTACTCTACTCTTAAACGTTGCAATTATCTTTAATTTTGTTTGTAGTTAACTCTTTAATCTTGAAAAATTTCTAGTAATTTGAATGCAATTTTGGCTTCTTAAAAGGTAGCAACATTGAAAATCATTATTCTCTGACATAAACTCCACAACTCCACATATAACAAACAAATAATAACAGCTATAATAACAATCACATAAGTGAGCCTCATTTAATAAGTATATTGTTTAAAAAAAGTACTTAAATCCATTTCAAAAAATTGATTTATTTGTTATATTCCATAGTTAGGAAGTTAAATAATATTATAATGAATTATAATAAATTATGAAACATTGTCTACTGGTAAAATTTGCAACGGATTGTTATAAAAATGGCATACACATAAATTTTTGTTGTGTTAAACGAACGTATTGCTACCGATTCCAATTATCTAATCCCTTTTTATCTTCCTATGACATATCTTTTAAGCATATACTGCAGGCGTAAAGCGAGTTTTGAAATAATAAGTTTTAAAGTGGGCCTTATTTAGTGCTGGGCTTTATTCGACTCAGGTACCTTATAGGCATACATATATTAGTACATGTGTGTATAATATGTGATATAAAGAACAAATGAATGCATGTCAAAAATACTGCTGAAGTCAAATAATTTTTCTAATTTATGAAATTCAAAAATTCCAACCAAAAATATATAATGCTTCCTTACATATGGCGATTGATCTATTTAAGAATTTCTGTTTTATGTAAACTTATATCAAGGTTATTCTTCATTTGCAACTAATCAGCAGAAAACTGGAGATATTCTAAAATATACAGTAGAGATAAACACAAATGACTGATTCACTGACGTAACATATACACTAAAAAAATATTTATAAAGCTATAAGAATATAAACATTTAAATGAGGTAATTGCACATATATGAAACTACTGCACGTGTAAGCAACATCTTAGCAATTTATTTGCAATAATGATAGTTTGTGTTAGTTATAATAGGGTTCGGTACGATTTGCACTTCTTAGTCGATTTTCGATTCGGCTCCGCCCTCCGCTACTGTTCTCACCTCATCACCTCGCGCGCAGTTCAAATGCCACTCGACGTTTAGGAGCGTATGATCCTGGTAGACATGAGGTCAACCCGCTTTGGGCGCTTACACTGTAAACTTCATTCTATTTTTTGGTTTATTACATAATTAAGAATGAAACAGTGCGTAAGATTGAGCGTTTACGCGTTGCTTCATTCTATCTTAGTTACGTAATGAACGAAAAGAAAAGATATAGAATGAAATTTACAGCGTGACCGCATTTGGTCTGCGCGCGGGGTGATGAGATGAGGAGAGTATCGGAAGGCGGAGTCGAGTCGAAAATAGGCCGAAAAGTGCAAATCGTGCCGAGCCCTGAGTTATAAATATCATTATATTTTTCTTTGCGTTTACTTCATGTTTATATGATCTGTGGTTTTGCAACTCTAATCAATGCATTTTTCTATCATGTTACATTTTTTTATTGTATTAAAGATGATATAAATACGATTATATCATCTATACAAATGTTAGTAGGTTTCAGAATATTATAGTACGACGCTTAGGAATAGTATACACTAAATCAATAAAATGAAGAAAATACTACTTTACATTTGCACTTTTGTGTTCGTTGTAAGTATTTTTTTGTCATAAGAATTAAATATAAATAGAGAGTTAAAAATTTTTGTACAGACATAAAAAGAGTTCTCTTACAACTTAATTATAAATAAATTGTAATTCTTATATTAATCACATATATGTATATAATTAGTACCTCGCAGCAAACCAAAACGTAACTGTAATATAACGTAGAGAGCACAAAGAAAAAATAATTATATATTTCATTTGGTTATAAATATATGAGTTATAAATACGATATATGTCACATAATTTTGAGGATTCTCTAGAAGAACAAAGATATATTTCTTTCTTACGTTATATAATCATAACACTTAAAAATGTAATCTAACACACACGTAACTCAAAATACATAACATAAATACAACAACTGTAATCTTTCACCAATTTAACGAACATTATACGACTGATACATATAAAATGCATAGATACTATAGATACATTGAATTTATCCAGGTGTCAGAGAAACATTCGAGAAGATGCTATTAGCGTTTTTTGTATTACGTTGTCCTTGTTTCACATCTAATAAATAATGTAAATCGAATGATACATATAGCTCTAATAATGTTTCCTCGAACACAGCTCCGTAGATTACGCAACTTCGGTTCAAAATTAAATGTTACATATATTACGCTACATCCTTCTCATCCACCTTTTACTATCTGTAGCGTAAATTTTTATCATTATAGTACCTATTTTGTATACATTTTGTATATACATATAGAAATATGTAAAAAAGACGTTTATATTATATTGCAGTAATACATTATTGATATGTTTCTGATATAAAATTAATATGTTTAAAGTTACTGATATAAAGCCGTACCAGTTCCTGATATTTATCATTACAAATAATATTACATGTAACATTCCTGATACTCGTGTAATATTATATCTACATTTAAGTTACATACTGTGGTTTGCTGGGATAATAACATATTAATATAGATACGTATGTGTACCGAATATAAAAACAGCTTGATCAAAGTAATAAGAAAAAATTAATTAAAAACAAAATTTCGTATAATTTAGTCTTTCACCGCTGACTCGAAGAAAATAGGATCTGCCAATGTGAATTACAATACCTGCCTAACTGAAACTAATATATCTGAAGGTAAGTCTGAGCGCATTCACACACACACACACACACACACACACACACACACACACACACACACACACACACACACACACACACACACACACACACATAAATATACAATCATTTTAAATATTTTCCAAAAGCTACCAGAACTTTAATACATAATACATTATAGATAATACATAATACTTTAATACAGGGCTATCCAATTTGAGCTCCGGAGCCAAAACACAAAGCCATCGATGCAAAAAAATGCAATGTGAATAAAACTTTAGAAACTGTAAACTGTTGATAAGCATCGCTTAAATGCATATCAACACTTTACAGTTCCCGAAATCTTACCCACATGGAATTTTTTTGCATCGATGGCTTTGCGTTTTGGTTCCGGAGCTCAAATTGGGCAGGTCTATTTTAAATACTTAATCGAAGACTATTTCATCGTAAATACACAAAAAAAGGTATAAATAAAAATTTGCATATTTAATAATAGTGTTTAGAATATGAACAAAAAATTTTAACACTTTACATGAATACAAAATTTACACTTTTTTATTAATTTCTAGATGACGTATTAACAATACAAGACATACTACAGGACAAATACAAATCCGAAAATCAAGAAAAACTCAATAAAAATGGTTGTCTTATACAATGTATATTTCAAAAGGATGGAATGGTAAGTAGTTTTTTATTTTTGTCTGAAAAAACATCTAAGCGTGGAACCATTAAAATAACACAATATTATCAATGTTAAAATGTAATTTTTTGTTATAATATAATAACGCCTTTTATTTAAAGCTCCTTATTTAAAAATTTTAAAATTTATTTTTAAATTAATTTCTCAATTGTGAACTTTATTGTCGATTTAATGATTTTATATATTGTCACGTTATCCAATTTAAAAAATAATATTAAACGTAATATACGCGTTTTAAAAATAACTTAATGTAATGAAATTATTAATATTTTATAAACTTTTCTTGTAAACTTAGATGGAAGATGCAGAATATAAGGTAGGAAAGATGCATAATGAATTCATCAAGAGAACAAAGATTCAACCAGGAGATAAAAGGTTGGAAAGTGTGGACACTTGCATAAACGAATGTAAGTTATACATATCATAACCATGTTATGTAAGGTAATCCAGGTCTTGATAAATATATAATCATGTTTAGTAAAAAACTGTTTACAATATTAATTATTAATAAGTCTTGATGCATTCAACTAATCTAGCTATTATAACATTACAATATGTGACGAAAGTATATAACATATCTATTTTACTCTTTTTCTTACTTACACTAATTTTATTTTTCTTTTATTCTAGCAAAAGACGTTACAGAAAAATGCGAAAAAGCATTCCTTTTTGTTACATGTCTTTTCAAATCTCAACGTGATCATATGCATGACCTTGGGTATGATGAATCCACAGAATAGTGAATAGAAAAATAACCGAAATATAATTAATATGTTAAAATTTACATTGCACAGCATTTTCAATAAAGAATATATGTATATGTATTCGGCTTTCTTTCATTTGGTACATTAATACAAAAAATAAATTTTAATTTCAATAAAATACCGACTCTTTTTTTTGGTAAAGAAACTTAATCGATTAAAATTACATACTTTTTAAATTTAATGATGTATAAATAAACAAAAATGGCGTAAGTTAATAAAATAGAATTTAAAACATATATACTTTTTAACTTCAACTTTTACATTTATCTAAATTATTAAATTTGCATTAAACTAGGGATATATGTGACTATACAAAGATGTTGAAATTATTTTCATACAATTTTACATTTTTATTTTTCTTAAAATACAAACTATTAAAATAATTAAGTTTTTGATTAATTTCATTTCTTTTACTTACGTAGCCATTTGTATGCGAATGTACTTATCGACTATGTATAATAATTATATATTCATATCATTGTACTATGCATGATTTACATTTTATACATCGAATTATATAAAAATTAATTGATTAATTTTCATTAATTCTTTCATAATAAAAATATATTGATGATTATAAGTTCACGCTGGTTTTGTACAAACATAATTCTTGTGCACATCATTGTCCTTTAACAATATTTTAATTTGCGATATCTTGATTGCAAATTAATTACAGTTATTTTAAGTAGACACTATATAATAAACTTGACATTTTTCATTTTTTTTTCATTTTTTCTACCATAAGTTGCAAACATACTGTCGCCAGATACAATGCCTCGCAACAGCCGTTCAGAAGCATCAATTATAATTATATAATCATGCTTCCAATTGGCTGTCGCGAAGCATTGGGGCTGACAACGGGATATTTGCAACTTGTTGTAGACCGCTCCTTAGATTAATATTCAATTTGTGCCAAATTCAACTTGTTTATCAAATATTTCGAAAGTGTCAGTTACTAGAAGACTAGTCTAGAATTTAAATAAAACATGTATGTAAAGATAAATTATTGTTGTATGTATTAAATAAATTTGTATAATATAAATGTTAAGAATAAATAAAAAATTAAAACAAGCATGTGAACACATATTTGAGAAAAATATACGTATTAAATTGACTAATAGCTCCATTTATTTTTTAAGTAAAAAACTCAAAATTAAAATATTTATTATATTTCAAAGTATCTTTAATCAGTAATGTATTCACCATTTTGTACGACTTTAAACAATCTTACGAGCAATTTTATAATGCCGTTCTCAACTGGCTGTCCAGAAAATAGCAAATTAACAGTTGAATTCACAACGGAAACGTCGGAACCACTCGCGAATAGTTCAGTCACTCAGAGTTATCTTCGTACACAGCAGAAAACTTTTTATAAATTCGTGCAATATTATTATCTTCATGTAAATAAAACAGCAGGATGTACCAAAAATCATTCTTGTCCTCCATATTTAAAACGATACCAAATACTAAAAATTCAATCTCTTAGCAAATTTTTTATAAAATATGCGTTTATCTTTCACAAAATTGTTGAGTAACTGATGAAATTATAAATAAACATTTACTAATGATATTATTCGATGTTAACTGCATTCCGTCTCGAAAATATATTTATATTGGCTAACCTCTGTTAGGTATAATACAAGGAAATTTTATATGTATATATTTTATAAACAACTGATATCTCTGCAACAGAGTCTAAGTATTAGTAATTTATCATTTATATTCTCATATTTGCATGGTACGCTTTTACATGATCTCTGACCTCAACTTTAATCTTCGTACAAACATCTGTTGCTAACAGTTAGAAGTTACATTGTACGTTATTTGGTTCTGAAAAAAATTCTTTAGTGCTCTTATAGAAATAATAAAATTATATAAAAGATTTTATTAAAAGGTAAAGACATTTTATGCTCGATATATTTGTGTTTTTGATTTTGTTGTAAATATTCAACTAAAAAAATTACACGCGGGTTAATTAAAAATTAAACAATAAAGTATTTTCTAAATTTTTATATAAATTAATTATATAGGTATAATAAGATTTTCTTACATTCTCTCTGTAACAATATTAAATTGAGGGATTAATTAAACGTGGAAGTAATGTATATCAAATTTGCTAAGAAAAAGAATCAATTAAGGTAAAACTTACGTATGTCTGTATGATTGAAAGTAATTTTTATATACATGTATGCAGTGATAAGTAAGATACTCTTAAAATTTATCTAGATACAGATACAGTTACATGTACGAAAATTTATCTAAATATAAATATAGATACACATATTAAAATGTATATAGGTACAGATATCAGATACTCTTACATTAATTTATTGTAATAATGGTAATTTGTAAAAAAAATGTATTAGTTATTAAATGAATCATTTATTCATTCATTTTTGTTACATTTGGATAATTGAAAAAATTTATAATTATCGTAAAACGATTTAGAATAAGAATTATAAGACGATATTATTTATCATTATGCATCATAGTTTTTACAAACTAAAAATGCTTGAAACATTGTGTTTCCAGCTTAACTATATATGCGTTAGAAATTCCACAATCTAAGATCACTGGTTGCGTTCAGCAGAAAAAGCAGCTGTGTAAGTGTAAAATTCTTTAATATGATTGATTTGCATTTGAGGAACTAAGGGAAAGATCAATCATGTTATATAGAATTTTGCAACAGCAAAGCTGCTTTTTTTCTGCGGAATAGAACCAATCAACAATCATATACAAAATGGAATTATAACTAGACTAGAAATGTATCTGAAAAATGCATTTGAAAATCAGTTCAGATGCTGTGTTTTTTTAAATCTAAATACAGATACAAATACTCAAATTTGAATGTGCTTCAGATACAGATTAGATACACAAAATATCTCTATACATGTATTTAGATACTGAAAGAAAAGATTGGCTGCTGCAGCCAATTAAATTAGATGGTAAAATATGGCATAGCATTTTTAATTGGTTGCAGCAACCAATTTTTTATTGCAGCAGCCAATTGAAATCCTATACTGACATTGCGGATAGGCTAACGCAACCAAAAATTGGCTGCTGCAGCCAATTAAAAATGCTATGCCATATTTTACCATCTAATTTGCTGCAACAGCCAATCTTTTTTTTTCATATACCCAACACTGCATGTATGCAAGGAAAGTTACTTGTAACGTCGTTACAAGTTAATTCTTTTCAGTAACGATCTGGTAATGGCGTCTTTTCTTTTTTTTTTTGATAACTAACTGTAAAACGTAGTTACATTTTTTTATTAATGCTAACGAATTTTACAATTTTATTGTTACTTTTATATTTCGAATCTATTTATGACATATTTGATAATGTTGACTAATATTTAATCTGCAATCTTTAATCGATATTCATAATTTGTTGTTATATTTAAAATCGTCTTAAGAATAATTTTAATGGAATTCATTTTATTGGAATATAATAAACAACCATTAACAAGATATGGACGTGAGAACTAGCCAACATTTGACCATATTTACTCTCTCACATCTCTTGACGATTATTCTCACATCTCTTGACGATTATTCTCACATCTCTTGACGATTATTAATACACCGATATTCGTAACGATCTATATGATTACTTTTTTTTCTGAATATTATCTAAGTTTATACTGAAGAGGATCCAAATTAGGATTGAAACGTATATTTATCTTTTTTAATAACGTATATGTAATTACACCTACAACCTGTGTTGGCTTTCAAAGACTTCTCTTTAACGTTTCGATAAACGACAAAAAAGTACAAGTCAAATAACGTACCTTTTTAATTTTTAAAATGGCATAATTAGTTAAGTTGAAGATTCCAAGCAGAAATATATAATGCTTCCTTATGGCAATTGATCTATTTGAGAATTATTATTTTATGTAAGCTTATTCCAAAATTATTATTCATTTGCAACTAATCAGCAGAAAATTGGAGATATTCTAGAATATACAGTAGAGATAAACCCAAATGCCTGATTAACTGACATAACATATACATTAAAAGAATAATCATAAAGCAATAAGAATATAAACATTTCAATAAGATAATTACAAACATATGAGACAACTACATGCGTAAGCCACATCGCAAATATAGGTTGCGTGAGCAACCTATATTTGCAATAATGAGTTTATGTTAGTGATACATATCATTCTATTTTCTTTTGCGTTTGTACTTCATGTTTATATGACCTGTGATTTTGCAACGCTAATCAATGCATTTTTTTTATTACAGATGATATAAATACGATGCTAGGCTTCAGAACATTATAGTACGACATTTAAAGTTAGTGTAGACTAACTATATCAACAAAATGAAGAAAATATTTTTTTATATTTGCACTTTTGTGCTCGTTGTAAGTATTTCTTTGTCACACAGATTAAATATAAATAGAAGATTAAAAATTTTTCTATAGACATAATAAAAGTTCTCTTACAACCTAATTATAAATAAATTATAACTATTATATTATTGTTACATATATGTGTATATAATTAACACATCGCGGCAAACCAAAACGTAGCCATAATGTAACTTAGGGAGTACATAGAAAGAAACATGATATATTTCATGGTTATAAAGATATGTAAGTGTCACATAATTTTAAGGGTACACTAAAAGAATGAAGATATATTTCTTTGATACGATATATAGATATAACAATTATTTAAAAATGTAATATAACACACGTAACTCAAAATACATAACATAAATACAACTGTAATCTTTCAACAATTTAACGAACATTATACAACTGATGCATATAAAATACGTACTGCAGATACGTTGAATTTATCCGACTTCTAGCCATCAGGGATGCATTCAAGGAGATGCTATTAGCGTTTTTATCCTTCATTCTGTCCTTGTTTTACATCTAATAAACAATATAAATGAAATAACACAAATAGCTCTAATAATGTCTCTCCAAACACAGCTCTGTAAATTACTTATGATGAAGTTCAAAATTTAATATTACATACATGACACTACATCCTTTTCATGCACTTTTTACTATTTATAGCGTAAATTTTTAT